GAATTTCTAGAAGATCAAGACATACGCGGAGATAGGCGGGACCCACTTGAAGTTCCACCTACAATGTCGGCACCAATTAGAACGCTACAACAAAAAGGGATCAGACAACCCTGACTCAACTCATCAAGACTGGACCCAAGACAAGACACGCACCAATCACAATTAAACACGGAAAAGTAAAAGACAAATAATCCAACAAAACTAATAATGTAGATTCGCTCACCTTCCCTATAAATACCTACCCTTGGGATCAGAAGGGGGACACGAGCACTTTTCTACATTCTCCTTCTCTCTCTAAAACCTCTAAAGCTTTCAAATAAATTTAAGTTTTAGTTTTGTAATATTTTAAAATCTTATTTCTACAACCTTTGTAATTTTATCAATAAAAATCACAAATTTTTAATTATTGTTGGGGTCGGATTTCACCCGCTCAACGTTGAAGTCCAAAGTTATGCAAGCGCAGCGCATAGACACAAAATCGCATTAACGTACAGATGTTATATGATTCTCCTAAGTCATTTCCTAACTAGAAGATGAATTCTTTCTCCTTTCCTAAGTTTTCTCCGTCCAAGTAAGGGAGATTTATGAGTCCTCTCTACTTGCAGCAGAAGTCAGGAGTGCAGAACCGGCGCCATGCTAGCAAGGTCACAATGCCAGTGAGGTCACACTGCCAGTGAGGTCACACTGCCAGCGAAGTCACACTGCCAGCGAAGACCAGTGCCAACGAAGTCCAGTGCCAGCGAAGAGCAGTGCCAGCGAAGAGCAGTGCCAGCGAAGACACAGTGCCAACGACGACACTGGCCACCAAAGACCTGCCAGAGTAAAGGTTCCTTGCGCTAAAGCCCGGTCCAATGGCGAGGCCCACTTTGACACAACCGACGTAAGGAAAAGGAAATCCGCGAAGACTTAGGAAAGTGAAGATTATCTTTAGGAAATATGTCTAGCCGACTTAGGGAGCTATATATATCAATGTACAAACCCTTGTAAAAGGGATCCGCAACTTTATTCACAAAAGCAATATACAGCAATAACAAACGTTTCTCTTTGCTCATCGTTTCGTTCGTAGCTTAACCTAGAAATCTCTGTTTCCTCACGAAACCCTTACAAATCTAATTGTGCTAGTTTCGACTCCCACAATCATATACATCAATTAGTTTTTAAATATTTTAAAATAAAGTATTATATTTTACATTAAAAATAAAAGAAAATAATAAAAGTATATGGTATCAGAAAATAATAAAAGTATATGGTATTCTTGGTTGATATTTGTGGTAGTCCGATGAATTATAATCATGTCACTTGCCATTTGTTTATAGAACACATCCAACTCTTTCTCTAATAAGAGTGGTTTTTTCTGAGTTTCTACTACTTCAATGAAGCCATCTTCGTCTTGTTTTTGTTTAATTTCTATATGGTTAAATATAGAATCTTGAGTAATTCTATCTAAAGCATTATTCCACCAATATTTTAATGCTCCATTAAAACCAGTAATTAATAAAACGCATGATTCTTTATCCGGTAATTCTTTTGCTTTTTAAGCAATACTTGCCATTTCCATTTCTTGAAACAAATTTATCATTTAATATTCTGATCTATATTCCATTCATATAAACCGTCGCCAGTGTATACATTACTCGAATTTTATGGTGTTCTTTGAATAATAAATCTAGTGGAGTATGTCGTGGATAATAAAATTTATTAGACTTCATTATTTTATATTTTATCGGATTAATTTCTTGATTTTCACTTTCTGATTGTATAAATATTTGAATAGATTCATTATCATATTCGTCTATATAGTAATTCCTTTACC